TAATGGCGTTCACTGGCTGGAGATAATAAAGAGAATAATCCACTGACGTTGAATTTGATGGTGGATTTATCCATTCAACATCAGAACATCTAGTGATTTTCTTTTTTTTTTTCATCAATACCAATTATTTAAAAATATACTCAGGCCTTTTTAATGTATGCCTTTCTAATCCTTTACATGATACACGACGGAAACATGGGTACGTCTCATGCCAGTTACAGGAGGTAGCAGAGAACCTAGCTCAGTTAGCACATGCATAGAGCTAAGCGTGATGAATTAGCTGAGCCATGCTTATTAATGGCACAAAACTCATTAAAAAACTTGTCATAAAAACAGAAATGAGAATAACCTTGTGACCGTCAGATGGAAAATCCAATATGTCGATGTAGAGTTTAAGGAAATAGATGTATTTCCATGGTTCCCCAGGAAACCTAAGGAAAAACCCCTTCAAGCCCCCCTCCCCCTCCTGTCTTTCTGCACAGCTGGAGAGACTGGGAAAGTGAATAATTAAGTCTTAATCCTGGCTTAAGTCCCTGCAGCATTAGGGACGTAGCAGAGGTAGGTAATGTGTAGCCAGGCTGTTAGAGCAGATGTCTGGCTTGAACGGTACACATCTGACTGCAGAACAGAAACGGTCACCGGTGCCACAACACTGATCCTGCGTCAGTTCTGATGTCACGATCAAACACACAAAACAGAGCAGCGGGAGCCACAACTGAGCTCTGGGCTGTGAATGATGTGTACATCACCCCCATCAATTTCAAACATCTGTTAATCATAAAGATTCATTCCCATGCTTCACTGGTTGCCATGGTAACTGCTGGCCTGTGTGGATTTTGGGCTATTTTACTTGGTTATCTCTATTCATTCTCCTTATTTATTTTTATCTTACTGCGGTGTACACAGTCTGTGTATATACATACATATATATAGAAATATACATATAGACACATACTGTAGTGTTTCTCCTAGAACACTAGAGGCACTAGATCAACACTACAGGCTGTGACTGCGGCGAGTGACCTTTGCTCCCACTTTCAGGCAGAGCTTTCAACAGAGAGTGGACTCAAACTGGACATTTCCACAATGGAAAGACAGAGTCTAGAGCGTGTTTGATTTAATACTGAAGAGGAGAAAGGAGGTGATTGAGGAGGAGGAGGAGGAGGAGGAGGAGGAGGAGTGCTTACATCAACTAGGAAGGAAAATCATCACACCTGGTTGTGGGTATATGTTAGAAGGTGTGTTTAAGCCAGTCTTTCAGCAGAAGAATTAGGTCAGCGGGTGCAGATGTTAGCCTCACACTCAGAGGTTCACCGGTTGATGTTGCGTGTGTTTCTGTGGCTCAGCAATGTGGTGTGTGTCTGTGTACAGTTCTTGGTGTCCACGTCAGTGTTGTGCGTCCCAAGTAGAGGTGTTAGTTGGAGGGGGAATCAAGCCTCCCATCACCGGGGCTACAGGCAGGCATTCTAAACACATCATAAATCTCACCTGGTGCTATGGGAATAGCTGCTGCACCACACACACACGCATAGACATATGTCCAATATGCGTATATTTGTGTGTGTGTGTGTGTGTTTTTATAGTGTGTGTGTAATTGCACACAGGCAGTAAAGAGGGGCTGTGAAGCAGACACATCTGTGGCAGGAGTGAAATGAGAAAAATAGTGTGATGTATAATCTGTCCGTCAACAGTCTCAGTGGGAACAGAGCCGCTCTTATTGAAAATCATTTCTGTGTGAACAAACAGGAATGGCGTGTTTTGTCAACCTGCTTCACTTCTTCAGACATCAAACTGACGTTGGCGCAAACAAAGAAAAGGTGATGTGAATCCATGAAGTCCAAACCAGTGACATGATAAACTATAAATAACGATAAGTCCATGTTATGTTAAAATATTCATATTTAATGTAACAACAATTGTGTTCGTGCAATTTGTTTTTCACTCAATTCATCAAGCAGGCCAAATTGATCACCCTGGCAGGCCAGTTCTGGCCCACGGGCCGTATGTTTGTCTCCCCTGATTTTCTTGGTTAATTTTGACAGCAGTTTAGTCCAGTTCCCTGTTATGCATTTTTTTCAACTCATTAGAAGAGTTACAATAATTGAAAATACTCTATGTTAGGTTAATTTGAGAAGGCCTTGGACACTGCTCCTCATAGAGCGAGTGAAGCAAGTGTGTACATTAGACACAAGTCAAGGTATTGCTAAATATGTTAAAAGTTAAAAATGCAAAAATACCCGATGATGATGAAAACAGCTCACAGACAGGTGAGGCAGGGAGAAAAGTCCTTCAGATGATGACTTTCTTAGATTAAACATTAGTTATAGACAATTCTATAGAATTCTGTAGAAAGTTCTGTAAAGAATTTGTTTTTTCATGTGACCTATTTTTTGTCTTCTTCATAATGGAGGGTGGGGCTTGTTTTTCTATAGAGCCGATGTATGCCAGGAGCAAAACATGTTTTTCCATTTGAGCTGAGAAAATTTACCTTGGCTGCTGGAAAATGACACTTTTTTGTTCCATTCTGCTGAAGTCCTCTCTGGATGCAAGTGTGTGTTTATGTTTTGTCACTGACAATGAGAAGAAAAAAAAATCACCCAAACAACCCCTTCAGTGTCTGACTGTGAATAACTGACATAGCTGCAGTCAGAAAACAGCAATTACAGACATGGGACATGATGACTCTTGTGGTGTTATCAGCACTGTTGGGTTGCTGGACGTGTGCATATGTCTGTGTTTGCGCGAGTGTGTGTGTGTGTGCGTTGCCCTTGTTGAACCACTCTGTAGGAAGGATTGCACTTTGTATACATTTCCTGCTCTCGTGTACTGTAGTGTTGACACGCTCCACAGGTGGTGATGTGCACGTGTCCCCTATTCACTGCGGGCTCCCATGACCTGAACTGTCCTCTGTGCCTCAGGCTGTTAGTCGTGACTATAGGACGTTTTTTTGGGCTCAGGATTCTTCAGAAAGACAAGACAGAATGCTTCTGAAACAGTGAATATTTCCTTTGAAGAAACAGTCATTAGATAATTTCTTAACCTGTTTTTCTTTTTCCTCTGGGTTGTTTTTGCACAACAGGTCACCCTGGAACACCTGCTCGGTCTATTTTAACAATCTCATGACTCACGAAACCACTGGCTGCAACTATCTCAAGGTGAGGGTTGAGTGGAATGAGTTGTTTTTGGGAAAAGCGTGACAGGTAGCCGTGTCGGCGGTAAAGGCTGTGCGGGGCTTTCCAGTTTGCCTAAACCCGCTGAAATCTGACAGAAGAGCCGTTTATTAAGGTGAAGACAGCCCACATACCTTCACGTTCTTTATGTTCCCTGCAGGTGACTGCTGATGCCTGCCTGTGTGTTTTCTCAGTGGTGACCCAGTCAGTCCGGGGTAAGAGATTAGCTCTCACCTTCTTCACCTGTCACGCATGCTGGAGTGTTGGGCCAAACAAAATAGAAGTGTTCCTGCCACTCTGCTCACTGTGGTCTTTTCACAGACCTGTGGCGGACACACACATGCCTGTGAAGGTTAGCACGGCAACGTTGAGCGGAGGGCTCAGAAATCAAGGGTGGTATCACTACGGATAAAAAAAATGAGCAAAGATAAGATACGTTTTTATCACCATAACGTCGGAGAGCGAGGTCTGTAATCTGGGGGAAAACAATCTAGAAAGTGATAACTGTCAGGGGAAGGAGTCAGAAGTATGAGGAAGATGTTGTAATGTCAGAAGCCATTATTGGAAAACTAATGAAAGAACATGGAATGAATAAAAGGAGATGAGGTTATGATGGAAACTAAGGTCAAGTGAAGTTGTTTTAGATCATTGTCAAGCATTAGATACAGAAGGTCGAAATGATGAGATGACAATCGAAAATGACACACACAAGGTTTGAATTAATACTAATACATTTTGATGTGGAACAACAACCAACAACAACCAGCTCCTGCTCCGACCTGAGACTCTCTCCGTATATATACAGCACATACATGCTCTATGCACATGGTTTAAACACAGAGTACAGCCCTAGCTAAATTTAGCCATCACACAAAGGCTCAAACTCACACGGGTTGGCGGACACACACCCCTGAGAATTCTGCATAAACACAGGCATGCAGCAGGGGAGGGGGGGGGGGGGGGGTGAGGGGCAGTGGTCACACATACACAGATGATCACCACTCCAGCCACTTGACTTCTACTCTACGATGTTTCATTTTTTTTCAGTGGGGGCTTTATCAGCCCTGCTAACTAGCTGTCTGATGCCGTCCTGTCCACAGCTCATTGATCAGCAGCTCCCCTGCCGCTCAGGGGCTATTTGGTAACCGCTTGACGGGAATAGTTTCCTGGCAAACAGAGCTGGTTCTGTGTGGTCGATACGCATGTGAGCGATTTTTAAGGCTAACGAGAGATCCAATATTTTAGCACAGAAGACGTCCAGTGTCAAACAGCCACGGCTGACCAGGGCACTTCACTGCTGCTGCTGTTCAGCTGAGTGACTGCGGTTATTTGCGGCTGCCCTGCACAAGTGAGGCCCTCATTTGTGGTTGAAGACCAGACTTCTCCATTTGCCTGCGGCCTTTTGATTTGTGTGTGGGGGTGTGGCCCCCCGTGAGCTGTGTCCCTTCTTTATTGTTGGCTTTTTTTTAGGATCTCCTTGCCTTCGTACTAGCATTAATTAGCAGATATTTTAGTCCCAAGTAAAAGGATCTGGTATGTACAGAGGAGTCATTAGGGCTACATGGACTAGATCAGAAAAATACCTCCACTGCTAATGGCTTGATTCTGTTTTGGTGGGCAGGGAAGTGCTGGCCAGATGTCGTCCCCAAACCAGAAGTTTGAGATTCCTGTTCTGAACCTTCTGCACATTTTTGAATCATAGTTTTAACTTCAGTTTAGTGTCCATCTGGTGGTCTTTCACAGCCCTCGGCCAAATCGTCTTTGGCCTAAATGTGTGTCCTATATGTTGATGTAAGTAAGTAAAAATAAGTCAAACCCTGACATTTTTTCAACCAACCAACTTCCTCTAGCAGCTTTCTGAACAAAAGTAATTACTAAGACATTAATGGGAGGAGCCGATCCTAGAGAGGGGCCAGGGTTGTTTATGGATAATTGTTGCTAATGTTAGTTCTGCCTAATGATGTCACCACCAAGCCTCAGACCTGCCCACCAACCCATACGTTACGTTATTCTTGTTGCTCTTTCCCATAGCTGCTCAGATTCCTTGCTGTTAATTTATCAATCTTGGTTTTTCCTTTTTTTTCTCCAAAACCGTATTTTCAGGTCAAAGGCTGCTGCTGTCAGCAGAATTGTCTCCTGGTGCCTTTAAGTGAGATAATGAACTTGTTCCCACGTCTCCTGCCGTGCTGGTGTCAAGTGGACTGACTCATCCACATCCTCTCCCACTTTGACTTGTCTCCCCCCTTCTCACTTGCCATCCGTCATCACACTCAGGTCACGCACAGAAACACAAGTGACGCTGTTCAGAATCGGCACAGTCGCAGCTTTTAAGAATGCATGAGAGAACAAATATAATGTTGGGAAGCATTTGAGGTAAAAGCACAGGGAAATCTTTCTTCTGCTGCCAAATCATGGAACATTCCCTTCTCCTCCTGTAAGGCCACAGACCCAACACATTTCCTTTTTTCATGCTGTCAACACATATTTTCTCCTCCACTTAAACACTTTTTCATCTGGTCCTGGCCACCGCTGACAACATTGGAGCGCATACAGTCTGGGTATTTACTCTTTTTAAAACTACGTATGGAGGCGAAGTGCCGCCTTGGCTTTGTCCCCTCTACCAGCTCATAAATGTCATTAAAAGGAAGTGGGATGTGGAAGCTTTGGGATGTAAACATGTTTGGACTACTTTTATCCGACACAGTGGGCTGCAGATCCGCTCCGTCTTTTAAAAGTCCGGCTTGGGGTCTCAAAGGTAGCAATTGATGACTAATTTGAAAACCAAGCATGTTTCTAACCTTATTTGTCAGTAAATTTCCATTCATGCATCCACTCAAATGGAAAAATTCTAAAATAGTTGGAGCTGTTTGCTAGTACAACTAAAATTGAACCTAAAACTTTCTAACAGCTAGTGTGGGGAGCTTGGACAACAGCTAGCTTCACTGCCGCCACATTGCTACACTCCCATGCTATTTTATTAGTTATATTCAGGTGCCTGCAAGGCCACAGACACATTCTAACAATTTCATGCAGAGTGTGAGAACCAGCACCTCCAGTAATTTTTCATTCAGCAGCAGATGGTTATATAAGGGCCGCACACCTCATTTGCTCAGTGGGTGATTTTCCTGACAGATCCTCCTTCCTGACAGCTCATTCACAAAGTGACCGAGGGCTAACTGACACAGTGGAACTGGGTCATCGTCACCACAGACACACTGGCACCTGGCAGAAAGTAAAACCTCAGTTTATACAGGCCGTAGTCAAGATGAGTCGCCGAATTTTTGTGATAAATAATAGTCAGTGGGTTGGGGAAAAAAAGAAACACACCTTAGTTTAACATCTGCCCAACAGTTTTTAACATGGAGAGGAAGTCTAAATGTTTTAGGATAAACAAAAGAAAATCCAAAGCCTTTCATTTTTGCTGTCTCCATGAAAGACTTTTTTTTTTTCAATTCTGGGAAATATATTTCCTCAACATCTCAGGACAGAAATCCAGTTTCTTTTAAGTGTGTTTTAAGTACACCGTGTTCCAAACAGGGAAGAAATGGCTCAACCTTTGGTAAAATATACTGTAATAATAAAACGTGTCACAGCTGTTTGAGAAATTAATGTGACATGACTACACATGTCTTCAGAAACCCAACGTCTGTCTTAGAACTTTTTTACTCTAAAATGATTTCTTTAAACACTTTTGAATTTTGTAGTGGTAACCAGAGGTGGGTAGAGTAGCCAGACATTGTACTTAAATAAAAGTACTGTTACTTCAGAATAGTATTACTCAAGTGGAAGTAAAAAGTAGTCATCCAAATAATTACTTGAGTAAGAGTAAAAAAGTACATGGTGAAAAAACTACTCAAATACTGAGTAACTGTTGAGTAATGTTTATGTTTTAGATATATTTTTTAACGTGCATTCAATCACATAAACAATATTACAGAGGAGAGTTTATCCCATCAACAAAATAATAAAACAAATTAATTAAATACCTTAAAATAAAATAATCTTTAGGTAAGTTAAAGTTCTTCAATGAAAAGTTAAAATCAATTAAATAAAAAGAGCACATAAAGAATTAAATATTTACAAAATAACCTAAATTACAGCACAAGTAACAAAAACACCTCTGGACACTGTGGATAAAAACACGTATTTGAGGCTACAAGCAGATCGAGCTCAGCTCTGAGCACTCATGTAACAGGGACAAAACTAACAGGACAAACATTTCGCCTATCCACAGCAAAAAGAAAAAAAAAAAAAGATTTGTAGGTCAAACTTACCGCAACATGTTTCCTCAGGTTGGACGATGAGCTTTTGAAATCTGAAATATCTGTCTGTTTGGGCCAAAATAAAAGTAGAAATACTGGATCATGGAACTATAAAGAATAGAGAATATAGCTAAAGCCTTATCCAGTATCTCTGTAAGGAGTAATGAGCTCAGTATAGCCTAATGTAGCGGAGTAAAAGTACTGTTTTTTCTTCATAAATCTACTCCGGTAAAAGTAAAAAGTATAGTGATTTAAAACTACTCCTAGAAGTATTTTTATTTTGAAAAACCTACTCAAGTAAATGTAACGGTATTTCCCGTTGGTGTAATTCGTTACTACCCACCTCTGGTGGTAACCCATAAACAAAATAAAAATAAATAAATTCAAAGATGATACAAATGTTTGGCGCTGTGAACTGGTTCAGGAGGCGGTGTTTAACAGCACATTTCAAACAGAACACTGGTAGAAACCATGACTTCAGGGTTGAGGCTGATTAAGTGTTACATCAAATATCTCCCAGCTTTTATTTAAAAGTCTGCAAAGACAACAAACCCTGTGATGACACTACAGCCTGCTCGCCTCCTCTGTTTAACGTGATTACTAGGTGTTTACCGTAGCTAACAGCTATAGCCCAGAGTTGTGCAACGAACATTTTTAGACTTTCATTTGGTTTTACACTCAAATATCTACGTGGCACCTGCCAACCTCAGCCTCAGTTTGCACTTAGAGCTAATTAATCAATCGTTCCATTCATATGAGTAAATTGCTCTTCAGCATCAGGGCTTTTGAAAGTCTCATGTCAGTCATCTTCTGACTCACAGCTGCCATTATCTCCTAGCGTCCATCTCTGGTTTTCACCTTCCCTGCGCACATTACTCCGTAACTCTTTTCTCCCCATCCCTCCACAGTGCTCGTCCTCCTTTCTCCCATTCTCTCTCTCCATTCCCTCCGCC